ATCTATCTATCTATCTATCTATCTATCTATCTATCTATCTATCTATCCATGTATCCATCTACCTATCCATCCATTCCTCCATCCATCCATCCATCCATCCATCCATCCATCCATCCATCCATCCATCCTATCTATCCTTCCATCCATCCTATTTATCATCCATCCTATCTATCATCCATCCATCCATCCATCCATCCATGCTATCTATCCTTCCATCCTATCTATCATCCATCCTATCTATCATCCATCCTATCTATCATCCATCCATCCATCCATCCTATATATCCTTCCATCCTATCTACTAAACTGTGGAGTTCCTGTGACCACCAGTTATCTTCTGCCACAGTAACCACATTAAAAAACTTGTTAATTTACCGTATCGTCGTCAGAGTTCAATCAGATAAAATCTGTTTAGTCATTCATGAGTCAGCTGATATTGTTTTTGTTTAGTTTTTTGCAGAAAAAGCTGTTGAGTTTCACAGAATGTTTATATTGGCTTAAATAGTCAAAGTTTTGTTTGTTTGTGTTGTTTTTAAACAGAGTGTATTCCCCAATGATCCATGTAAAGAATATGAGGAATATATTTAAGCTTAACTCACAGATCAGATTTCTATTTGAGAGTCAAACAGACTCGCTCTGTAACTTCTGCTGAAATTTCAGCTCCATGAATTTGAAATTCAAATCATTGTTCGAAGAGCAAACATTTTCAGATGCGATCTGGGGCTCAGTCCACATCGGCGGCTTTGTTTCAGGGGTTAAGTTTTCCATTTTCCTGTTTCTAGGTCTGCGGCGCCTCATATGAAAAGATGTTTGCTTTCAGGAACCATATGGATTCATTTGAACATCAACAGGTAGGAATTTTATAGCTTGTGTACCATGAAATAAATAGTTAAATGCTTCAAATGTAAATTTAAATGTGCTGTTGGAATCTTCAGACTCTGTTCACAATGTAAAACAAAGCAGAAAATATATTTGTCTGTTTAACTTCTCGTTAAATTGCTGGAGGACAACTTAAGTTACAATGTGAGATCTTTGTAACGAGCAGTTAGTCAAACTTAAGATTAATAAAACCATTTATTCTTTGGCTGTCGCTGGTAAACTCCTTTTTTAAGGATAAATGGCTCTTGTTTTATGTTTCAACACAGCTTACACAGTCATGTCTGTCAGAGTTCTGTGTTATCGTCACGTCCCGAAGGAAGCAAAATGTTTTGAGATGAAAATTATGTTTAACATGCCTCAGAGAGTTTCTGGTTCCCTGGAACTCCTTTAGATGAGACGATACATGCTCATTAAAACAGAACATTTAACTCATTTTCTCTTGAAAACAGTACTCTCTAAAGTGTAATCCTACATTATAACTCCATTTTGTGTTTTTGCTTGATTCATTTTTGTGTCCATCTAAAGTATTTTTTCTTTTTTTTCATTCCAGAAAATGAAAAACATTTTCCCCGAAGGTAACTTAACCGTGTGAATACTTTAATGCATCTATTTAGGTGGAAGTTGCTTTTAGACTTTATCTCCAGTAATACATATAATGATGTGTTTTTATGTTCTTCTTTTTCTTTTTTAAAGCTTCCCCGAGTAGAAGTCGTAAGTTTGTTCTTCTTTGCAAACAAATTACTGTCTCATTAGTTTATTTTGAATACCTGCACATTTTAAAGCTAAAAATGAACAAATGGTGTTTGTGATGGTGAGCTTTGGTCTGCTTCTGTTTAATTTTCTGTTCTGTTTTGGCCAAAGGCTTCATTCCCAACATCGTTTTTGTGGAACCCAAATTCCGACACGAAATTCTAAAAAACACCAAAGGTGAGTAATTCAATTTTAAGTGAACATTTCACAAAGTGTTTAATGTTCCTCTGGAGGGTAAAAACATCCCAGAGCTGCAGGTTTGACTGAAAGCGCCCAACTGTTTGACTTCAACACTCCTGGTTTTAAACAGTTGAAGACGTGTGTGAAGTTCTCATTTTTCCACTAGAAGTCAGCATCTGGATCCTGTGGAGTTCCTCACGTCTTGTTTCATTTGGGGGACAGATTATGCCAAACTGGGATTTGATATTCTGCATTTGGACGATAAAATTTAACTGGGAAACTTAAGAGGGATTTAAAAATCAACTAATACAAGAAAAAACTTCAAACTGACTCTTTATTGTACATTACTGTCTGGTTGCTTGATTAATTATTAAGTAAAATAGTTTTTTCTGATTAAAAACGAATGTAAAGACATCCTCTGTGCTCTGTAAACAATTGCTCTATCTTAAATTTTTTGCAGGCCCAGATCTGATTACGTTCTGTTTCAGCTCAGCTAGGTTAGAGGGGTTTTACTTGTGCCACATCTGTGAGCAACGCTGTCCAAGTGACAGTATTTTAGACCACATCTTTTCTCAGGACCATTGGAGTAACTACATAGTAAGTGCAGAGCATCAGTGAAACCAGGTTTAACATTTGAGAGTGTTACTGAATGTGTGTTTTGCTGTGCAGTGCTACACAAATCCCAACGAGCTCAGCTTTTCCTGGATCCCCAACATGAACACGAGAGGGATTCTGGGGGAGAACCTCAAAAAGGGAAATGATAAAAGTTTCCTGAGCCTGCAGGTTGGTACGTTGAGCGCTTCTGTGCTCCAGAAAATAAGAGTCATGCAATCATGATCGGCCTCAATATCAGAAAACTGACTTCTCAATGGGATAACATTGCTTATGTGTAGCTAAAGGTCTTAAAAGGTCTTAAAACATAATATAGAAACAAAAACCTTTTTCCAACCAGGGCTCCTCCTGGTCTTTGTCTTTTTCCCTTTTCTCTTCTCAACTTTCTTTTATGTTATAGTACTATTTTTTCTACATTTTAAAACAATGCTGCTGTATATTTAGGGTTTGTTTTAGTCCTTTACTGCTGCGGCGTTATTAAAAAAAAGGAGAGGATTTTACATCATTATATCACTTTGTTGCTTTGCAGGTGTTGAATTTACCCTTGAATCTCGTTGAAAAGCTCCACATAAAAACCTACTCAGAAGGTATTTAATGATTTGATAAATCGATGTTGTCATTATGTGAGCAGTTAGATGTTTGTATATTTATGTCAGTAACTGACATGCGTCTTCTTTGCAGTTATGTTCACTCTGTGTGAGAACGAGCACCTCCTGAAGCTGTTTGAAGGTGAGTGCACACCTCCTGGGATAAATCAAACCTAAGAGAGACACTACTCAATAAAAGGCTCTCAATATAACTTTGATTTGTTTTCTTCATAGCCATCCAGCCAAAGAGGACAACAATAGAAACCTACCAAAACGACAGCAGCAGGATGCACCCGCTCCTCGGTCTGCAAACCTCTTTATTTTCTACTCTAAAAGCGCCGAATGCCTCTGAAAAGAGTCGTTGGGCTGAAATTTCTCTGTGTTTCTTGTGTTCCAGGGCTGCAGCACGTTGTTGAGTGTGTGTGCGCCGAGCAGAGGCACTACCTGTGCACGCTGTGCCGCCGGACTGTGGCCACACACATGATCATCAGACACCTCCTGAGCTTTGACCACATCTATTGCTATTTTGTAAGTGGAGCTAGCTTCCCAGAGCACACGCCTCCTTATTATGACACCCCGATGGGAAAACAACGGTCTGAGATCTTAAGATGAATTGAGTGTTTAAATCAAGAGCTCAGACAGAATATCTTGAGGGGAAACTTGCCGGAGCTCCATGTGGGGCCGTGTTTTGGGTTGAATTATTCCAGGGTGCAGTTTTCCAATAGCTGTGAGATTTGCATATTCAGATATTCTGTCTTAATTATAAATAAAAATGCTTGTTTCTGTCAATTTCACAGAAAGTGTGGCACCCCTCTACGTTAATGTCGAGGGAATCCTACACAGATCACGACTCCTTTGCCCCCCTGATCGCGGATTTAGCAAGGCAGGAGGAAATTCATGGGACTAAAAATGCTCTTATGAAGGTATTTGTACTTTACAGAGTCAACGCTTCCTGAACTGAATGATAAACTGTATTTTACATTGATCATGAATGTGTCTCTGTCACAGCGTGTGAGCCTGAAGCCCAATGAATACAAGGCAGTGGACTTCACATGTTTTGCGGCTGGTTGGTGTTCAATTTTCAGATTTTTCTTGTTTTTTTTTTTTTATGAATTTGATCTTTAGTGATTAATAACGCTTTTCTTTTGGATCAAATATTGGCTCTTAGCTTTGGGGAAACTGGAATCAATCACGAATAGCAGCTTGACAGTGGACTTTGAACCGGGGAACAAACTTGGTATGTCAGATCTACTCGTACTTTTCCTTCAGTTCACTTCCCTGTTCGTATGACCAGAAACCTTTTCCTGTGTTTTGTTTTGTGCCGTAGAGCATCGAGCTGCTGTGGCCCAGCTGAGGTCGGCAGAACTAGAGTTCAGATGCAGAGTGCACTGCCAGCACTGCAGCGACACCTTTGACAGCATGGCCACATATTTCAGGCATCTTTCCACGTGGAAACACGAGAATGTAAACGAGCGTCTTTCACTTGAACAGAAATGGAGATAAGTTGATATCATATTCATCAAATCTCCTTTTAATACTCTTTTGCAGATGCTGTGGGAGATCTTTGATGGAGGTATTGTTCACCTCAGTCTCGTTTAATGTTTTCTGTAGTGTATTAATAAGAAAATCTAAACTATTTTCTCTCCTGTAGCTGGCAGAGGCGATGGATTCAGACAGAAAAGTACTTTTTTATTTGATTTTCACACACGGTCTGAAATTTGACTTTTTACAAGCTGTATTTTTAAACTAAAACACCATTATCTGTCACTTTTAGTGGAAGTCTATGTGGGCTTAGACGAATATGCAAGTGAAAGCTTGAGGAGAAATCAACCAGCTGTTGGTAAGTCATCCAACTTGTTTTTATGTTAATTTTGAAGAGCTTAAAAAAAAGAAGTAATCTTTGTGTTTTTAGGAACGGGCTTGGTTGTGACCTGCATCAGCACTGAGGCAGAGGCTGGGACATTTTATTTGTGCTTTGCATGTCGGGAGTCTTTCCTTCACTCCGTTCCGCACATGGACTCACGAAATCATCTCATAAACACTCTGGTAAGCCTTTACTCTAGTTCTTTTTAGCCTGCTGGACTGACCTAGTTAACTGTTAGTTTTTAATGCAGTTTTTCTCTGCATCTCCCTGCATGCCACAGACCTAAAAAGGTGTCAGGATATTGTACTATTGACAGTATGGCTGCTGTTGTCATATAAAATGTCAGGGTTATTTCCCTAAACACTTTTAAACCCACTGCTGTAAGAGGAAAAATAGACACAGACACAGTAAGCAGTCGTAAAATAATAGACTGCAGGGTTAGAGTTAAACCTCTAAAGATGGGTTTTAAAAGTGAATTAAACTCATTTTCATTATATTTCTGTACCTGTTGTAAAGTTGTGGTGGCAGAGTGGTGACCCACTGTGTCTTTTATCTAAAGACATTAATCATTTTTTGTAAGATAAAAAGACAGATGGACTATTTTTGTTCATCAGATTGCAAATATATCTGTATTCATGTTTATCATGTTATTTTTCCAGTCAAGTGAACTTTGAAGTGGATAGGTTCTAACTTTTAGTTTTATTGCATAAAAATAAAAAATTAGCCATGAGGAATCTTTGTCGGTCTGAGACATTTTTACAAAAAAGATCAAATGAAGAAGTGCACGACAGTACCTTGTATGGATTAACAGTTTAGAGCCTTGACCAGAAAGATGAGGGTTCGATTCCCACCAATTCCTCCGTAAATCTTTCTGTCTGATAAATGTACGTATTCCCGTTTTGCTGAGCTGAGGAAGAAGAGGCTTGAGACATAAAAGGATGAGGGGAAGATGAGGGAAACCAAAAGTCCTGGAGGCTGTTGAGAGACATGAAGGCAAAAGAAAATGCCGCTCAAACAGCAGAGTTGATACTGGTTGTAAAAGCAAGTTAGTCCACATAGAAACGTGTAATAAGACGATAAACTTCACAGCGGAAACTAAACCTGTACTGACTTCAAATCCAAGATGTACCAGAATCCGTGGCGGCTGCCTTTCGGTTGGGAGCAGGATCTGGATGACGACGCGCTGAGGTCCATGGCTTGGGAGGAGGACCTGGAAAGGAGGCAGGAACAGATTGTTCTGAAGGTGACAATTAAAACTCACCTTTGAAAAGCTGAAATTCCAAGATTGAGATAATCTGACAGTAAATTTCATGTTCTTGTAGCTTTTTGATATGCCATTCTCCATATTTTGGAGCCTAGACTGGTGCGACTACAAACAAGGTCAGTACTGATGTGTACGGTGTGTTCTACCTGTGTTTTCCAGACATAAATGTTTTAATAAGTATGCCATTTCATTCTTTATATGACTGCAGTAATGGCCAAACTCCAGCCATACCAAACTGTCCTAATGAGCGGAGGTTTGTGATGAAGTCCTCTCTTTGGATTGGTTACTGAATTTAATTTATTCACTTTAATCTGAGAAAATTTGTATGTTTTTTTAATTCAGTTTCAGAAAGTGAAACATTAATCAATGTACAACAAAATGGACAATTTCCTCTGCTTGGTAAGTAAAATGTAAATAAAAATGTTTTGGAAAATCAAGCAGTAACAGGCCATGATCCTCAAGATAAGGAAAAACTCTTATCACACACCGGGTTTTATTGTCTGTTCTAGTTTTAGAAGTTGTGATTCTAAAAATGTCTTTCGGGACACTCAACACAGTCTGTTCTTGTCTGTGGAACGACAAAAAAAGCAGATTTATGTACTGCTGTTACTCACTATTCTTAATGAATTCCATCTTTATTTCATCAGGCAGCCATATGAAGCGTTTCGTGGATGTTTCTCATCTTTCTTCCACTCTTTGCAGGGAGACAGTTCATTGTGAATCACGATCTGATTATGAACAGGGTGCAGCAGGTCCTCTCGGTGGGATCGCTGTGTTTACTTTGTGAGAGAAGGCTGTCAGACCCTGAAGCCAAAGCCCACGTGTTCAGCCGGGAGCATGTTTCAACATTTCTGGTCAGCATTTTGTCAATATTCTCCCTTACTGATGCAAATTTGACAGTAACTATGGCTCAGTTAACCCTCTCTTAACTCATTGATTTCCAGAGTTTTTTGAGCATTTTGACTGATTTTTCAAGAGCCACAGAATAGTTTGTGCTATGACTATGTAAACACCGAACACACCAAAAAAAAGAGTAGACTCTATTCTTTCATCAGGAAAAAAAATAGTTTCTACCTTATTCCGTTCTTCCTCGACTTGCGTCTCACCGGCGACATGTTCTCTCATAGCGAACCGTTACCTTTTTCTTATTTGCCTACAGTCTATGCTCATCTCCCATCAAAAGTGGCACTGCCACCTAGAGGGTCAATTTGTTACTACATACTCTGTCTAGAAGCCCGATATTTACGGACAAGCTTTAGCAGATCGTCCCCCAAGCCACTCTCGTTGAAAAACATAGAAGACGTCTATAGACGTCTTTGGCAGGCAATGAGTTAATGTATCCAACCCAGTTTTGAGCATCAGATTTCAGAAAATATATGGTGCATTTATATATGTGAAAATAAATTATTAAAAATAACCTCAGTAATGTGTGTCTTGTGCAGGAGCGTTTCCATCCAGGCTCGCTGGACTCCGGCTCCGTCGGGGCAGAGGTCTTATTGGACCTGGCGAAGCAGGCCGCGAGCCTTCACACTCCATCACAGGAGCAGGTACCGAATCTCTTTGGCATCATCACTTGTTCACTTTTGCTTTTTTATGTCAACGGTTTCTGTTTTTTAAGGAAATAAAGCTAAAGAGGCCTATCTGGGACCCATGCCATTACCAAACAGGTGAGTCAGCAGATTGCTGTGAACGTTCCCCCTTTAGCGTCTGTGAATGTTTTTCCTCACCAAACTGTTTTTGTGCCGTTCGGCTCCAGCGACAAGAATGTTGGCATCTGCAAAGCGGAAAGAGAGAAAAGGAAAGCTTAAACCACCAATAACACCAAAGAGGAAGCTGAGTAAGTCAATTTAAGGGAAGACAAAACAGAGCCAGTAACCAGAGCACTTGACTGTCGTTGCTTTGTAGCATCTGGAGTTAAAACACATTGTGTCTCTTTTCTTAAGGGAACTTTTCTGAAAGCTCATTACCAATTCAGAACCACATACTAATGTTTACCAAATATGGCAAGACGCAGATGGTCTAAATGTCTGTAGAGGGACAAATTAATAGGATAGGCTGGAGGAATCCCGATAAGACAAGCTTTGTTTAAAGAAATGGGCAGAGCTTCCTAGTCGACCCTTCAGTGTTGATGGGTCAGTCTTTGCTTTTGTTACACTAACGGATAAAAAATAAAATGCCCCTTTGTTCAGCAAAGTCCTAACGAATCAAACAGCAGTTTGATGTGATCACCCCTCAATACAGGAAGTCTTATTTCTACCACCTTTGCAGTCAAAAGGAAACAAACATGCTTATTCAAGAGAACTTTAGGTTTTTTGCATTTTTAATTTTGATCTATAAGATCAACCAGAAGCTGTGGTTGAGACATTGCTTGCATTCAACCAACCAATCCGAAGATTGAATAAGGACATTTTTCTGTGGAACTAAAATTGAATTTCACTGGTTATTATGAAATACACTTTCTAATACTTTCCAATGCATATTTCAGTTCCCACAAGCACTCCAAGAGAAGTGGACCAGAACCCAGAAAAAGACATTCAGGAAAACAGCAGTCATACTAATGAGCAAGAGAGAGAGAAAGAGAAAGAGACATTGACAGAGAGCAGAAAAGAACTGGAAACAAAACAAAAAGATTCTCCAAAGATGGGTTCAGCTGACCTGAAGACTGCTGGGGAGGCAGACCAGTCAGAGGCAAAGACTGACAAGTTTAAGGAAGGAAAACCAAGCAGCGAGGTGGCAAAAAGCTGCAGAAGCACGAACCAAAGTGAGGGAAAACAGAGTGAAGCCAAAGAGAATTCAGGAACCAAACGTGTCCCAACACCATTAGATGAGGTTCCCAAAGCAAATGACAGAAAAAAGTCAAGAAGCTGGTTTGAAATGTCCCAAAGGGACAGACCTTCAGAGGAGGATGAAGAGATAAAAACAAGTCCCAAAAGACGACAGCTTGTCTCTTCTTGTGAAGAGGCTCCGAACAGAGAGGAAAGCAAGACGAATGCAGCAGATGAGAAGAAGATTAACATGGATGCTACGACTAAAGGTTTGAGTTTAGATATCTCATCATGTATTGATCTTGGAAGACTCGTGAGGTTCATGGGTGGGTCTGAACTTTTCATGTGTAGCATTTCATCTGTTTATTTCACGGTCACAGCCATCCACACTCTGGAGGACCTTCATCTGCGGCCAGACAATGTGGAGAAACCTCCTTCAGTTCCACCTCAGCCTTGTATCAAAGAACCTTTGAAGGCCTCAGCTGCACCTCATGCTCATCTCTCCAGTGTTAAGGTCAGCAAATTTCACATTATTTGGACTTTTCAGCATTGAGGAACGATTTAAAATATGACATGCAAAGATCGGGACCCATGAACGAGCTCTCATATATACAAACTCCTCCTCTAGACCCACATTCATATTCTCACAATGGCAAATGTTCATTTAATTTTTTTAAAACAAGAGAGCAAAGAAACATGATCTAGTGACACAAGACACAAAAGAAAATTCAGTTCCTTCATTCCACAAAGAAAGTAGTAACTTTAAAGTTAGAAAATATCAGTGAAGATACTTGAAATTGATCATGTATTGAGCAGGGATTATTTATCTGCTTACTTCGTTTACTGATGAAAAATGAAAGGTGTAGTAACTATGGCTCTCCCATCCTAAAGGAGAAGGGCATAAAGAAAAGCGAGGGGCCAGAAGATGGTGTACCAGACGTCCCATCAGTGACCAAAGCCGTCCACAAACCGGCTCCGGCCTTTTCAAAATCCAACAAAGACCCATCAAAGACTCACATCACAGTCCCCAGGACTGTGGGCAGCTCTAAGCCTTGTGCGATTGATCCAGAAGGCAGTAAAGATGCATTAATGCTGAATGTGTCTAAATGTGAGGCAAAAACAGGAAGCTTCTGCAAAGCTGACGCTTGTCCAAGCACAATGGCTGAATCATTAAAGACTGAAACGACTTCTGCAATAAAGGAAAAGCCAGTGGTTTCCTCCATCTGCTCGGCAAGCCCATCTCAGAGTGCAGCAGCCTCCTCAAAGATGAACCAAAAGGCGTTTGCCCCGAAGGCGGCCGTCTCCAGAACCACCTCGGCTGCAGAGCCCGTCACCATCTGCAAACCACCGGCGAGAGGAAGTGCGGCACCGTCGCTAATAAAGCCCACTTCGTGCACAGCTGCACCCAAAGCTCAGACCGCAAACTCCGTGGTGCACGAAGCCGGCTGCAGACCTGCAGCTTCCTCCGTAGCGAACCACGCCCCTAGACGAGTGGAAGCTGAAACCAAAACTTCAGTCGCTCCTCAAACTGAGACGCCTTTTCGGGTCTCTGCTAAAATGTCCAAAACATCAGCCACAACTAAGGTTTCTGAGGCTCCATTTAAGAGGAATGCGGTGGAAGCCAGAGCTGATGATGCTCCAAATGCTCCTAAGAAGAACCAACCTGCAGCCCCCCCACTGAGCACAGCAGGGTTCATGAAATCTGATCACAAGAATCTGCAAGATAACCCTCCTCAAGTCTCTGAAAATAAACGGCAAAGTGGAAACCCTCCTAAAGTTGGCAAGTATTACTACTTATTTGAATTCAATTCAATTTTATTTATATAGCACCACATCACAACAACAGTTATCTCACAGCTTTCCAAACAGAGCTGGTCAGACCGGACTCTGAAGTTATTTACAGAAACCCAACAATTCCCACCAAGACCAAGCACTAGGCGACACAGGGAAGGAAAAACTTCCTTTAGGGGGCAGAAACCTGGAGCAGAACCATGGCTCAGGGTGGGGGGGGCAACTGCCTCGGCCGGTTGGGGGTGAGAGAGGGCAAGAGAGAGAGAAGGAGTGGAGAGAGGCAGCCTACACAGTAACACATAGACTGGATGAAAAATGGCAATAATATTGATACTAGTGATAATGATAGCAGTAATGATAGCAATAAGACTATGAATAGTGGCTATAATTGTAGCAGAGTAGGAACGGGGACAGCAGGAAACTCCCAATCACAGATCCAGCTTCCACAGCTCTAGAAACACCTGCAGGCAGTGTAAGGAGGAGACTCCAGAAACCATTCAACATGTCTGTGTTTAATTTTTTTATTTTAAAGGAAGTCTTTTTTTGTGTGTCTAAATTCATAGGATCCTATTTCCTGACCGTGGTGTCATGTGAGGAGAAGCAGCAGATTTACTGTGAGCTCTGCTGTCTCAGACTGACGTCATCCACTTCTCATCACCTCATCAGCTTTAACCACCAGTATAAATATGTGGTATGTACTTGAGGTTTTCCACAAAGCACAGCTGCAGCACGTAAGGCATGACAACCAAAGAGAATTTATCTCTGTGCCCCTTTTCTTATTTTATTTCCAGAAACTGAAGTACCCTCAATGGACTGCAAAGCAATCAGAGCTGAGCAGCAAACTGAAAAATACAGTGAATCTCTTGGCGTTGGTTGAGCAAAACTTGCCTCATTCTCGAACAATCAAGGTGACTTTCAGAAATGAAACTATGACCTAATTTTAATTTTATCGACTGTGTAGCCACCATGATGGACGGCATCATGGCTGATAAACCTTGAGGGGTTTTGTTTGTGGATGTCGGTGCTGAGTGTTCACCTCCGAATGTGATCTGGAAACTGTTAAACTTTTAAATGCTTTTGAAAATAACATTGGAGTTGCAGATAAGAGCAATCCCACGAATGAAACAGATTAAAAAAGCATAAAATCTCTCACTATGGTGCAGAGATAAGATTGTTTACAGGATTTTGTGTTGCAACAAAAACACAAAAATGCAACAGGTGGCCACCCTGATGAACAATCACACAGAATTATTTATTCACCAGCCCTTCTCAGTATTATCGCTTATCCTAACAGCTGCTAAATTTAATTAAAATTAACTTTAGTGAACTACATTCAAGGTGCTTTGACATCTCAAATATGATCAGTGCAAATGGGAAGTTCAAGGGGCTGAGAACATATGGGAAGATATTTCAGTCTGATCTTTTATTCCAAAATGGTTATTTATATATATATATACACATACATACATTTGAAAAACATATATATTTTTAATTTTGATGAAATTGGAACATATCAGAATGGGTTTAACTCAAAAGTTCATTACATCTTTGGCATTTATGAAAAATATTTTGTGAGTTTTGTTTTTGTTTGTTTTACATAACTTCTTCATCTTCCAGAAAGAAAAAGTAAGCAAGGAAGTGTACCAAAAACTGGGTAATCTTCCAGGCGCTGAAGGTAAACTAAATGTGTTTCAGTGTGTGTGGCATTGTGAACAATGTGATGTCTTATAATAGGGAAGGTGCCTGTTCATATATAAATCCCAATAGCTGCAGTTTTATGAATATATGCTTGTGTTGTGACTTTGTTGATGACTGGTATGTGATGAAAATGATCATATTGAGAGGCCAGTGTGTGATGTTAAATACCTGTCTTTTCATGCTCAGCTGTAGAAATGGTGAAATCCATTCAGAGACAGAGACATCCGGCTGATGGTGGAGATGCCTTTAGGCGGGAAGTGACCAGTCCATGTGAGGTGTCAAGCTCAGATGACGGTAAATTCAAGTCCAAAACATGAATGAAACTTTTTCACTTGCACTGAAGTGGGCACATTGTCTGACTTTAAAAGACATACGAATGAAAAACACAGATGTTGATATACAATCTCTTTAGAAGTGAACATTTTGTGTCCCGTAGGGTTGCTGGTGCCACATGTTGAAAGAGCAGCCCTCTCTGCAAAAAAACAAATAGAGGCAACGAACAAAAGTCAAAACCAGAAACAAGTCAAGATCCCAGGTGAGAACATCACACACAGAAAGTCAATTTCAGCTCTAGAAACAAACACACACACAGTCTAATTTTTATAGACAAGATGCATGCTAACTTTAACCCAAACCCTTAGAATACAAGAAACATGCAGTGAAGACAGCTGGTAAATATACAAATTTCTCTTGTAAATTTGACCATTTCATCACCAGTTTGTGTTAATTATGTG